TGTAGTAATGCTTTTTACTTAATCTGGCACATGGGAAGTACTGTCATTCTTGGAAGAGTCGTGGTGTCGTAGTAGTTGGGTGTTTGGCTGTTGAGCTAAGGTGGTTAGTTCAAACCCAGCAGTTGCTCTTGGGAGAATGATATGGCAGCCTGCTTCTATAAATATCACAGCCTTGAACACCCTGTGGGCAGTTTCTGCTCTGGCTTATAGGGTCTCAATGAGTTGAAATCTACTTCATGGCTGTGGGGTGGTGTTTTGATCTTTAGCGTTCCAAAACTTTTAATGTGTTCTTGGTGTTCACTGACTAGGTAGCTTGTCTGCATAGTATCAAGAGTTTTAGTAGTGGGAATATTCATAGAAACACTCCTTACTGAATTATTCAGAAAACAGAAACCATTTAAAATATGATATGAAAATTTCATTTTATGGAAAAGCAATTTGGATGACGTTTGAAGAACTTTTCAAAGTGGAGACTTTTATTATGGGAGTGTAGACATAAATATTTAATTACTGATTCTCATAACTATTTTAAGATTATGAGCAAAGGTAAAAATATTTCTTTTTATTTTAATAATTTTATTGGGTCGCTTACAGATATTGTAACAATTCACAATTCCATTAGATCAAGCATAATTGTACAGTTACTGCCACCATCAATTTCAAAACATTTTCTTCTTGAACTCCTTGATATCAGCACCCCTTTATCCCCTTCCTACACCCAGGAACACTTATTATATATTGTTGTTATTGTGTTATGGTTTTTTTGTGTGTGTGCCATATCTTACATCAACCAGTGTATCCATTCACCTGTAAATCTGTTGTTCATTCCCCTCCAGTGGGGTTATACAGTCATCATTACTATCAGTTCCTCCTTCCCTCCTTCCCCCTGCCCATCTTCCTGTACCCTCAAGGAATCATTACTCTCGATACTATTTCTGAAGGGTTAGCTATCAAAAGTAGTTCTTTATATTTTTCTTTTGTTAGCTTAGGAAATAGCTAAGTTGAGAATTTCTTTTTATCAGCCTACAGAGCAAGTCTCAGAAATACACAGACTCTTTGGTGAACATTCTGAACCCTTGCTTTTTTAGATTACACACTACCAAGGACTCAAGTAGAAAGAAAATGTTCTGAAAGTAACAATGGCAGCATATGTACAAATGTGCTTGATACAATTGATATGTAGATTGTTATAAGAGCTGTAAGAGCCCCCAATAAAATAATTTTATTTAAAACAAAACACAAACAAAACTTTCATTCAAGTCTCGATGTTTACACCTTTTTTTCAAACCTTTAGTAGAAACCTCTGTAAAATCTTCATACAACACTAGGGGGCACACTGTGACTTGAGAAAAAAAATGTGCGCAATGTTTCATTCTGCAGGAAAAGAATCTAGATAGAAATACTGTTAGAAATAGACATTTATACTTGTATGAAGGCTCTCAGACTCGTTTATTGCATTTTTGATAATTAGTAGTTTAAAACTTCATTGTGCCTGAATTACTACTGACCTTAAAAAATCAGATTATTCAAAATTATTCCAATTACGGCTTTTTTAAATGGAAAGGAGTTCCTTTAGCATAGTACAGAAAAACATCTCTGCTTTGAATTGAAAAATGGACTTATAGTCAGGTGTTGTAATTGAATGAGTAGTTCTGATGGATTTGCATATGAAAATCCTTGAACTGATGGCTTTTTGTTTGAGAGAGAGTAGACTTAAGTACAAAATTTGATTTGCTAGGTCATATTAATGGTAAGACTGAAATGTTTATAGAAAAGAATATTACCAAAAAAAAGAATATTACCTTTGCAGTTGTCTGGTCTAGCATGACTATATTCTTATTATAGCTTGGCTTTTCATTTGTTTATTTCATTGCTTTAGGGGGTTCTTGAGGTAGAGAATAGTACATGAGATAGTGAATTTTATGAATGGCATGTGAGTCGAAGTTTCACCAAGGAGCATTCTGACTATTACTTCCAAGACAGATTTCTTTGTTCTCCTATAAGTAGCCCGTGGTACTTTCTTTCCATTGAGTTGCAATCCACAGTGACAGTGGTAGTCTCTGATCTTCGCTAAGTGCTTCCCATCTGCTTGGTTGTCAGCAAGTGAGGTTGTGTCACCTACACTTCACAGGTTGTTAATGATCCTTCCTTCAATCCTTATGCTGCATTCTTCTTTTTTTTTTTGTACAGTCCAACTTTTCAGATTATTTGCTCAGCATACAGACCGCATGGTTATGATGAAAAGATACGACGCTTATGCACACTTTACCCGATGTAAAACCATTCAGAATCCCCTTGTTTTATTTGAACTGCTGCCTCTTGGTCGGTGCACAGGTTTCACATGCGCATGATGGAATGTTTTGGGAACGTCTTTGGAGGTTCTAGCAGGGCAGCTACTCATATATCCTTGACTGATGGAGTGAGAGCTAGTACAGCCAAATCGCCCTCCCATCCAGATGGAATGTTTTGGAATTCCCATTCTCTGCAGTGTTATCAATAGTTTGTTCTAATCCCCACAGTTGAATGCCTTTTCAGATAAGTGGTGGTTCTCGTAAAAAAAGACCATTTCATGTAGCATTCACAGGGAGGCAATTTCCTTTGTTACTGGACCTGGCTGCCATGGGTCCACGGCCTGGGTGGGGCTGACTGTAAGGGAGTGTTGCTTTCAGGCATTGTGGCGCTTGGACAGATAAGGAATAACGTAATATATAGGTTACATACAGTAGTTTGATTGTATTTATTCTTGCAACTATTTATTCATATTTATTTTAATAAATCATTTTAATGGGGCTCTTACAGCCCTTATAACAATCCATACATCAGTTGTAACAAGCACATTTGTATATATGTTGCCATCATCATTTTCAAAATATTTTCTTTTTGTTTGAGCCCTTGATATAAGCTCCTCTTTTTTCCCTCCCTCCCCCACCCTCCTACCCTCATGAACCCCTTGATAAATGATAAATTATTATTATTTTCATATCTTACATTGCCCGCTGTCTCCCTTTGCTGCGTTACTGTTGTTTATCCCCCTGGGGATAAACAATCATTGTAGTTGGTTCCCCATGTCTCCCCCCACCCCCTCCCCATGGTATCGCTACTCCCATTACTGTTCCTGAGGGTTTATCTGTCCTGGATTCTGTGTGTTGAGAGCTCCTATCTGTACCAGTGTACATGCTCTGGTCTAGCCGGGTTTGTAAGGTAGAACTGAGGTCATGATAGTGGATGAGAGGAAGCATTAAAGAACTACTGGGGAGCAGCGGTTCTCAACCTGTGGGTTGCGACCCCTTTGGGGGGTTGAACGACCCTTTCACAGGGGTCGCCCGATTCCTAACAGTAGCAAAATTACAGTTATGAAGTAGCAACGGAATTAATTTTATGGTTGGGGGTTCACCACAACATGAATTAAAGGGTTGCAGCATTAAGAAGGTTGAGAACCACTGTACTAGAGGAATGTTGTGTGTGCCATTGGTGCTATGCAGCACCCTGGCTGACTCGTTCCTTCCTTGTGACCCTTCTGTGAGGGGATATCCAATTGTCTACAGATGGGCTTTAATGGGACTCCACTCCAACCCCCATCATTCACATCAATATGATTGTTTGGTTTGGGTCTTGTGATGCCTGATACTTGATCCCATCAACACCTCGTGATCACATGAGTTGTGTGTTTCTCCCATATGAGCTTTGTTGCTTCTCTGCTAGATGGCTGCTTGTTTAACTTCAAGTTTTTAAGACTCCAAATGCTTATCTTTTATTAGCCGGGCACCATCAACTTTCTTCACCATGTTTGCTTATGCATTTTAACTTAAGCGATTATGGTAGGAAGGTGTGCATCACAAAATATACCAGGTTATTAGAACAAAGTGTTCTTGCATTGTGGGAGTACTTGAGTAGAGACCAGTCCCTGTCTGCTACATTAATATGTAACATTTAAATATATGTAAATGTATTTATATCCCTATTGTTATATATTATATCAACATATAACAATATATTAATATTGTTATATATTATATATAGACTTATATCCCTATTGTTATATATTAATGTATTTACATATGTGCATGACTATATTTTTACCTCTATAAATGTCTTTTGCCTCCTTGTTCTTTATTTCTTTTTACTTTCCTTCTGCCCCACTGTCATGTTCAACCTTCATTTTACTCTCAGTACTTTCTCTTGGCTACATGGCACTTGATCACACCCCCATCAGGCATTCTATTCCCTCCTTGCCATCAATTTTAGATCTCTTATTGTTCCCTTGTCCCTGGGTTTGCAACAATTTATTTTTAAAGTTGCCAAATTTCGTCTTTTTAGGCCTAAGGAAGATCTGTGATTTACTCTTTGTGTATCCTTCTTCCGAATCTCAAGTTCATGCTGTTTTCTTCCAGAGAAATTTGAAATATAATGAAGTTGCCTGGCAGATTGTGTGTAGTCTGGGTTGACGGGAGAAACAAATTCAGGGAGACTTATATGTGTATGAGAAAAAGCTTTATGTACAAGAACAATCGAATATTGAGAAAACATCCCAGCCCAGTCTAGATCACGTCCATAAGTCCGATATTATTCATATGTCCAATACCAATCTATAAATTCCTCTTCAGACTCACGTAATACATGCAATGATGTCGAATGCAGGAAGATCACAGGCCAGTGGGTGGAAAGTCTTGTGGATCCAGTGGCAGTAGAAGCATCTCAGCACTGGCAGGGGTCTTCACCTGGCTCCTCCAGCTCCCGGGCTCTGGCTGCATCAGCTTAGCTCTTTTTTGCTCGTTGTCAGTAATGTTTCGCAGAGAGTGAGCTTGTGTCCCACCTCCAGCAAGCTGTTTATCTCCTTAGCGCCTCCAAATGAGGTCATCAAGCTGCGACCTCATTGACAGACTAAACTCCACCCCTTCACTCTTAAGTCTCAAATTGGCAACAGGTTATGTAACTACCACAGATAGCTTATGTGTGCTGACTGAAGATAACTGAAGAGATCTCCTCTCTTCTGTACACAGGCTTCATCCCAGCGCTCCAACAGTCATGACAAAGTAAGGAGAATAGTTGCCGAGGAGGGCCGGACAGCAAGAAACTTAATAGCTTGGAGCGTACCACTGGAAAGCAAAGATGATGATGGTATGTAATTAAAAAGTTAGTTGCATTTTTAATATAAATTAGAAGAATATGCTTAGTCCCGAGCAGTAGATATGCTATGAAAACTATTTATGATTAGAGCTCGTGGGAAAAATGAGTAGGTGTTAAAGAAGATGAACATTTTTTTTATTGCTTTCTTATTTTACCAAATATACAAATGGCTTCATAGAAATGTTACTGTTAGTTCAGCTATTTCTGGTTGGAAAGAAGTTGGATATATCATGTTATTATGAATGGAAGATAAGTATTATATTTTTTAACTTAAGATTAAATTTCTTTTCTTATATTAAATTCTCACTCTGAAAATAAAAGGTAATTATATTTCTTTAGTTCCCATCATTGTTATTTGGACTAGAAAAAAAAAAATCTCTTAAGTCCCCTCCCCTTGGTTACTAGGGGCAGCATAGTACACGGTTCTGGGATCTAGAAGACTGGATAGTGAGTAAAAAAAAAAACTATGCCAAGAGTCTTCACTTTAAAATTTCTAAAGACTTGCAGAATATTTTTCTATTGTGTTTGTCTGACTTCTTAGGATTCGATTCAGACATGTGTTTTCAGTACAGATCCCAGGAAAGAAGTGATGAGTCCTTTCCACCAGAAGAAGTATATGATGCTAGTAGAGTGCCAGCTTTAATCATCTGGTAAAGGTGTCTGCCAAGCTTCTCTACTGTGAAATAAATATATATATTTTAATTACCGTATATACTTGTGTATAAGCTGAGTTTTTCAGCACATTAAAAAATCATTTTATTGGGGGCTCTTATCACAATCTGTACATCGATTGAATCAGGCATGTTTGTACATGTGTTGCCTTCATTCTGGACATTTACTTTCTATTGAGCCCTTGGTA